CCCCGGTATCTCATACTTTCAATTCTATGTAAATTTCTATATGGGACGTTGGGCCTGGTTCCCAACACGTGCTGCTCCCCACGAATAGATTGGAGCCTTGTTCCGATAAAAAAAAAAAAAAAGGTCACAAGAGGACCAAATGTGACCTAAAATCTGTCTCGAATTTTGCACTTTTAGATCATCAGGTCCATCTGTAAGTATGCTCTAAATGACCTCGCCGAGCAACGCACCAAATGTGAAAAAGACAAAAACTTTGGTGGGTGTATACTTCCATCTATCCATGTTATGTCGGAAGACACATGCTCTATTTTCCACATTTGGTGAATGGTGGCACAAGGCTAAAAAAACTCGGCATAGTGCGCTGACCAGGTTTCCAATACGAGACCTTGTTGTACTGATCCTTTGTATGGATTATTGGAAAGAATCTTACCTCCTTGAACGGGGCGAGATTCTGTTTAGGAAGGACTCTGCCATTCAGACGGGCCAGTGGAATGGTCGTCCGAGGGCAACCCCCCCCTTTTTTTTTTTTTTCAAGTATGGCGTGCACTATCTGCATGGGTGACACATTTTATTACAAAGGCTTAAAACTTATGTTTTCTTATAAATGGTATGACAAAATTCAGAAACGTCTTCCACGCAGTCGCGGGGGTCTCCCCCACCTGCTTATCACAAAAGATAAAAAATGATTTTTTTCATAACGGGGGACGCGTCTGGATATACGGGGTGTAAAAAAAAATACAAATCAATCAATCAATCAATCAATCAATCAATTAATCAATGAATCAATCGATCAATCAATCAATTCATTGCTTCCCCCCACCCCCCCCCTGTCTGACACCACGGCTGACCCCTGTAGGTATGATAACCGGCCTGATACCCTGGTCGTTGGTACAACTGCCATTTCGCCAAAATAAACATATTTTATTTTTTGAAGGAAATTGAAACGGAGTTTTTTGGCCCAAAACTCGTCAAAATTTGTTGTTTCTGAGGGCCCAACGTTTTACAAACGCTGGACCCCCTGGTTGTACATGAACCTAGCTTGAGACCAGGCACCTCCTGGAACAACAAATTTTGACGAGTTTTCGACCAAAAAAATGGTCGTTGTACTTTCACTGCTTTTTCAAACCTAGCACCTGTTTTCTTTGCCGAAGCATGTTTCCATTTTGGGGAAACTGCTCCTAAGTCACCTTTTAGTTTGAAATTGACAAGAAAAAAGAAAGTGTCACCAATGTTATCGTTAAAGTTTCAGAATGAGCAAGTTTATTGGGGAGTTGAAACTGTGGTCATTTTTTTGAAGTGGCGGGAATGCAGATTCCGCAGTGGTTTCTTGTGCTCAGTTTCGACAACTGCCAAAGTTGCTTATTCCAAATGCTAGGTGTGACTTCGGAGTCGTTGCCCCGATAAGTCAGTCGATTGCAGTAGCCCATGTTGTATGCCTCGTGGAAAGTCTGAGGGTCTCCGTGCCGCACTTAGACCCAGGCCGAAGTGGAATATAAACCCTACGTAAAGATTCACGGTCTGGACGAGATACAGTTGACTAAAGTTAACCATCGGAGAACCCAACAGTCAAAGTCAAAGTGTACCCAGCCAGACCGGCGGTTAGACGCACACTTGTTTGTATGCAGGTACCCAAACAACATTAGGTTCAAGGGGAAGTTTGCAACTGTACACAATCCAAGCCCTCTGTTGAGAGTGAATCTGTACAAACTGTGGGAGAGGGATCCGAGATCAAACAGCCTCGTCAAATGCTACAAAAGGACTGGTCTCTAGGAGGTCGACATTCAGTCTTGCTATACTGCTTGGACGCTGGCTCGACTGTGACTAGACGCTGGCATTGACGTTGGCACGACAAAGGCGAGACGCAAGCTTGACGCTGGTTATGCGCAAGCACTGTGGACGGCGACGCGGGGTTGTGGCAGCATGATGGCGCTTTCTGTTCTGTGCGCCAGGCATTGCTGATGTGGCGCATGGCAGGGTTGTCACGCGGGGGCCCCCGGGGGCAAAGCCGGGTAGAGGTTTGACCCCCGGACCCCTGCCGTGGGGGTGCCCCACCCCCGCCCACCCCAAAACACCCCTGCCGGTGCCTCGACCCCCGCAGCCCCGCCGGGCCCCGCACCCCCACCCCTGTCTCTTATACACATCTAGATGTGTATAAGAGACAGCCCATAGACTCAGGAACGGTTGATGAGAGTGAGACTTAGTACAGACTGTGGTCGGTGTTGGTAGGTTTCTTGGGGCAAGATTA